TAGAATTTTTAACCATCCATCATGTGAATTTTGAATCTAAATTTAAAATGCTACTTGATTAATAAACCATAAAAATTTGCTTATTTTATAATTTCATTGTATTGCTGGTACTTCCAGGTGTTAATCCAATCCTGGAAGAAAAGCACACACTTTCCCAAGACTTAAGTCTCTGAAGACAAAGCTAAAATGAATGTGTGTTGAAAAAAATGAAAGGAATCAGTCAAAGAGCTCTTTATTTGGTAGAACATTAAACCCTTGACTGTAATGTAAATTAAAAAATATGTTATCTCAAAAACTAAAGGGAGGAAAGAAAAATAGGAAGGCAGAGGGAAGGAATACCAATATATTCTTAGATTTATCAATGAGCTATATTGAATCTGTTAAAAACTAAAAAAATTTAAAAATCAGTCCATCAGTTACTTTCAACAGAAATATTAAGTTCCATAATTAGATTTTCAATGATTTAAGACATTAGAAATATAAAAAAAAATGAAATACAGCCTTTAATTTGTTTAGAATACTGAAAAATATATCTGAGGCAAGGAAGACTATGAAAATGTCAAGGCTTTTAAAAATAAAAACATTTCTGAGATCAGACGAGATCGGATGCATTCAGAATGGTATGGCCGTAGACACCACTGCTATTCAATATAGTTCTGGAAGTTTTAGCCAGAGCTATTAGGCAAGAAAAAGAAATGAAAGGGATACAAATTGGTAAGGAAGAAGTTAAACTATCCCTCTTTGCAGATGATATGATTCTTTATTTAGGGGACTCAAAGAACTCTACTAAAAGACTATTGGAACTCATGGAAGAGTTTGACAAAGTAGCAGGATATAAAATCAATGCACAAAAATCAACAGCCTTTGTATACACAGGGAATGCCACAGCTGAGAAAGAACTTCTAAGATCAATCCCATTCACAATAGCTACAAAAACAATCAAATACCTTGGAATAAACTTAACCAAGGACATTAAAGATCTCTACGATGGTAGAAAATAATTATTTATAAAATCAGAAATAATACTTCCTAATTCTTAAAAATGTTTATTTTCATCTATTGAAAATCAAGACAATACAGAAAGAGATGAGAGAGAGAGGGAGAGCAAAAGAACAGTCAGGGCCAGACCTGGCTGAAGGCAGGAGCTTAGAACACCATTGGGTGTCTCATGTGAGTTGGAGAGGGCTGTGGATTTCATGCATCATTTGCAACCTACATGAATGCATTAGGTGGATTGAAAGAACAATAGCCAGGACTTAAACAGGCCCTTTGATATGGAATGCAAAGTTCCAAGTGGTGGCTTTTACACTTAAGCTGCAGAATTAATTCCTGTATCATTTTCCAAAGTTTAGGCAATTAAAAATATAATAACTCATGGCCGATTTGAAGTTATCTGTGTGATATTAAAAGCAATGTTGAGAAAAATTGTGTAATAGCACACTATTGCAATGTATTTCCACAATAGATAAAACCACAAAGGAAGAAATAATAGTAAAGTGATCATATAATAAATTTTAATTATTTAAATATAGTTTTACATCATTGAATCTAATATCTCTACAACTTTTAACAACAATTACTTAAATTTTAACAATCAACTCTAACAAATAATTAGGAACTATTTCCTGCACTTACCTGGAACTTGCATATGACAAATAATAATTATAAGAGCAGATAGAGAAGTTGCAAGATACTTGAACCAAATTTTATATGGTCAGGATTACTAATCAAAATTTCAGCTACTGCTACTAGGTGGCATGGGTAAACATACACATAATACCTATTTTGTACATCTGTCAGATTTGGATGTGAAAGTTCAAGCATGTACTTGGGAAAAATACCATAATGGTTCAAGGACTTGGGTTCAGGTATTGCTTTGAAGGCAATATGCAGCCAGTGAACATTTTAAACCAGGTCATTTGAAGTGTTGGGTAATGAAAAAGCAATTGTGAATCAACGTTTCCTATGTGCTCATAGAACTTTCAGGTTAAGTGAGCCTAGGGAAATACTGACATGATACAATACAGCCTGACTAAGGGCATAAAAGGTCTGTGAACAATGTGCTTTGGGAGAAAGAGATGTTGAGTAATTAAATTGCTCAGAGGATCATGAAACATTTCACCTCATGAACAGATATTTAATTTTGGTGACATGTCAGTTTGATAAAATAAGCGTTCAGTGTCATTTAAAGCAACATGCAAGAGAAAAAATGTGCAAAGGGAGACAGTTGCAAACCCATTAAATGGGGCAAAAAAAATACAATGTTTACAATGTGAGATACTGGATATTTAAATGGAGAATAGACAGGAGACAGAGCAAGATCTTATATATTAAGCTAAAGAGAGAATTTTACCCTATGGGAAGAGAGTTTGGCTTTTAAAACTGAAGCAATTTTGCTTCTTAAAATAGTAAATTTGAGTATGTGTGGGAAGATACACAGGAAATGTATTGTAATCATCTAAATCAGAGATTATGAGAAACAAGACACAGGCAAAAGGAAAGAAGAGGAGAAATGGTCAGATAATTTAAACCTGCTCTGATAACCAACATTTTATTGGGAATGAAAAGGATGACATTCATTCACCCTAGAAAGTCTAGGTTTAAGTAGTACATAAATGATTGTGCCATTTAGAGATACAGAAAATATTGGAAGTCAGAGAAGGTGTGTGAGAAGGTGATAATACTTTCTGCTTTCATTTGTGAAGCTCTGGATGCTGGCAGGATATACAGATGGATATTCAGAGATAGAAATTGGATCTGGAAGAAAGTAAATAGCTGAGGTGATAGCATAAATGCAAAGATAATTTCAATTAAAGCAATGGATAAGATGTCATTTAAAATGAGTTGTGCCTTTCAATTTACCAACCAGATCCTGGGTGATCATTGATGAGATTCCCAAGAGCAGTGTTTGAAACTGGATATTAATAATTTAAAGTATGTGTGGGAGCTGAGAAAGTGGAAATACTGAGCTTCTTTCAAGTAGCTTAGTGGTGAAATAACAGAAGACACAGAGTACTTAATGAAAAGAGAGTGCTGCACCCGTAGGTGTGGTATATGCGGTATATAGTTCTATGTCTTCAGTACTTAGAGGTTCCATCTGTTACCATATTTTTGCACAAGAACTGTCACCTAGGATTGTACTTCCCATAGTGGTTTTGACAGTCCTTTCTAAGATTAACATGAAAACAGTAATTAAAACAAATTTATTCAGAAATAATAAATTATTAACTTATGACTACTTCTGTTAAGCATCTTCACAGATGGTAAGTTTTAGGATTATTCTTTTCATGAGATTAAACACATGGAACCTTATACGAGATATCTATCAATCAAATAAGGGTAAGTAGGACCAACTCATTTGTAGGAAATCTCAGGTGAGGAGAGAACATTACAAAAGGTACCAATTCCAAATTTAAATTGAACTAATGTGAGCAATGAGCTTTTCATCTGTCCAGAGGCATGGAAGTCACAAAAACAGACAAAGGCAGAAACATCACCAGGACCTCCCAGGTTTTTGGAAGAATATATAAAGTCAGCTTTGAGGAATTAAAGGCTTGCTTAATGATAGTTCATATTTTAACTTAATCATGTTTCAGTTTTAAATCTAGTCAATTTAAATGTTAAAAAATGCAATAAATGGCAGGCCCTGCTTGCAATGCTGGTGGCCTATATCTTGGAGTTGGCCAGAGTCATGGCTCTTCTGATACAGCTCCCTGCTGATGCACTTGGGAGAGCAGCAGAGGTTGGTTCATGCTCCCCCACCCATGTGGGAGACCTAGATGGAGTTCTAGGCTGCTGCTTTGTTCTGGCCTAGCACTGACTGCTGTAGCCATCTGTGGAAAGAACCAGAGGATCCATGCTTTCTCTGTGTCTCTTCCTCTTTGTCACACCACACTTTCAAACAAATAAATAGATGTTAAAACAGTAATGTAATAAGAGTAAAATGGTCATTCTTTGGAGTTTTAAATATATGTGTATCTCTTCTTAGAAGTTAAAAAATTTACTTGAAAGGCGCTCTCTCTCTCTCTCTCTCTCTCTCTCTCTCACACACACACACACACGAGAGAGAGAGAGAGATTGATCCATCCATCCATCCATCCATCCATCCACTGATTCACTCCCCATATTTATGCAACAGTTAAGTGTTGGCCAAGACGAAGCCAGGATTCAGGCATTCAACCAGGGACTTCCATGTCAGTGGCAGGGACCCATGTTCTTGAGTATCACCTGCTGCATCCCAGGACACTCATCAGCAGGCAGCTGGCTCAGAAGCAGAGTGAGACCCAGACATTCCATTAAGCTATGTGAATATCCTGAGCAGTGTAGCAACCATCTTAACCATTGTACCAAATGTACACTACAAGACATTTAAACTAAACGTTTAAATGATGGTCGGAGACAAGCTCAGCTGCACAGGGCCGGGGCCTGGGGGAACACTTGTGAAGCCCTAGGTAGACAGGACATTCTTTATTCAGCCCACACTGCAGCAGCAGCAGCAATGACAGCACCAACAGTTTATGAGTTTATGAGTTGGCTTATATAGGCAGGGTTTCCACGATAGTGGCCACTAGCCCTGTAGTTACCCAGAACAAAATAAATCAGCCTTCAGGGCCCACTGACAAGTAGAAAAATGTATCAGCCACAGGGGCCTGCCTGGTTGTCATGGAAACAGATAACAGTATAGAATTTAATACACATTATACACCCTGTTTTCCTGGACTTAAGTTCCAATAATCTGAGTATTTTTATGCAAATTACCAGACAACTACCTAAGGACTGTTTATAATGTTGTATGTGATTTTATGTGTTCTATATCTTGTAAACTTATAAGTACTACAGTAAGAACTGATTTAATTAATAACATACAAAGATATTATGAATTTATGAATTTGTTCACTTCAAACAGTCATTCTTGCAGATTTTACATGTGGAAATAGCTAAAAAGATATTCAATTTTATTTTGTTTTCCTTATCTGGTTTAATTCTAAATTATACTTTTATTGAGCTTTATATGTTTATCTTTGTAGAAAAGTATGTCTATAATATTCATATATAACTGAAAAATGATATCACAACCAATTTATAAGTTGTATTACAATGTTTGACAAGTAGAAATCCACAACCCCAATAACCATGAAAGCACTGCTTGTTCAGCTAGATGTCCTTGTGATCTTGTGATAGCAATTCTGTTTCAAAATGTACCCAGTATTTAATTACAGTTATGACAGAGTGACGACATTAAGAGGACAATGCCATTGAAAGAAGATTGTATTCATTATTGTTTTCTGGACTCTTGAACGTGCCATGCCACACAGGATCATATGCAGAAAGCGTTAGAGCTGGTCAGAAGGCAGAAAGACCAAGGGGAAGCGGGAGAGTAGGCTGTTATTATTCTTAGTGGGGACTTGTTATATGACGTCATGCTCTATCAAGAATAGAAGCATAAATGTTGTAGTTTGGGGCTAGAAGGTTTTTAATATGATTTTCTGACCATCCTGAAAATTCAGGGATTGAAGGATAAGAAGAATTTTTGGATATTAGTGTGGCCCATGATTTAAGGATGTAAAATAATCAATTATAGAATGCCAAGTATAATTCTTACGCTTTCACAGCTTCATGATATACAAATGTCAAATATGTACTTCAAAAATATAGCTTAATGTTACATAATTATTAAAACTGCTATGCATATGATCAAAACACATATAAATTCACAATGTTTTATTCTATCCACTTTGAAGAGCCCTGGAATAGTTTCAAATTGTGATGTATCATTAGTGACTTAAAATTATGATAGTAAGAAATACTTATTCACTGTATTTATGTCACATAGATAGCCTTTTTGTGGTCATCAATATGGAACTCAATATGTTATCAAATACTATAACAATAGTATGCATTTGGGTTTAAAAGCTTCAAAATTGACATAGTTTTATCTAAAGAACATGCTAATTTAAATCATATTAATATCAGGGTAAAATCAGAACACGTGCTTTTTTGAGTAAAACTTGGTATAAATGGGCTGATTAGAGACGAAATGTCAGTGTCCAAGGGGAATGAATACTTAATTTGATCCATCTCTTTTTTCTAAAATAATCATATGTAGCAGGAGAAGCTGGGCAGGTTCGGGAAAGGAATAATGTAGAGATCTTCACATACATTTGAGTACTGTTGCTATTTGAGGTGTCCTGTTGTTACAAGACACTACAACACATATGAGGAAGCACAGTACCTAGCCTCATGGAAAACAGCTGATAAATAAATGTTGGGCAGGAAATCAGAACCTTGAATAAATCTGCAGCCGTTCAGGAAGAGGCTTTATATTCACTGAGAGGACTGACGCTCACACTGTATATATATACTATAAATTTGGCTCCTGATTAATTGCCAGCCTAAAGTAATTAGGTAGAGCTGAGTCCACATATAGGTAGTTATAGGGACACGCAGCTGGGTGAAAACGAAGAAGTCAAGGAGAAGCACAGAGTTAACTATCTAAACTATACAATATATTTTGAAGACAGAAAACTCTAAGAAATTAGTGAGGCATTACAGAGATCGTCAAAAGAGAAATAAGTAGCAGACCATTTGTGTTATCATGAATTGTCATTCCCATTTATTTACTACCCACAACTGAGTATGTGTCAGTTGGTTTCAGTGGATCTACAGTACCTTCTTGTAGCACAAGTGGGAAGCATATACTTACCTAGGCCATTGACATAGCAATAGACCTCATTTTGGTGAATTATATGATGAAGTGAATTCCATACAGAGGCTTTGAAAGCTATTGTTGGTTTTAATATACCAACTCCAGCCCCTACTGCTCCTCTCACAAGGCCTTTAGCTTAGAGGCACCATGTACACGGCCTCATCCCCAGGTGGTTTGTGTGTTAAATTTAAGAAGAGATAATGATAATGAATACAGATCTGTACATTGCAGTTACGTTTCTGATGACTAGTGACAGTTCTTGCTCAACAGACCTATATCATCACAAATGTTCCTATATTATGAAAGGTGCTAGAATGGTGATGGTCCCTCTAGGTTATAGATGGAGTTGTACAGCACATCTATGTAGGAGTTATGCATCTTCCAAAACATGCAGTGAAATTCATTGTCTTTATGGGCTTTTTTGGAGGAGACCAGCACTTTGTGATCAACTCTGAAGTGAAGTTTTTCCAAGTCATAGCCATTTACCTTGTAGTCTTCCACAGAAAAGACAAATCTCAGGTAGAATTCCCCATGGACCACCAGAGTCTTCTCTAAGGTGGAGATCTTCTCATCCGTGTGTCCAGAGATGTGAATTCCACCAAGGCGAATTTCAGTATGTTGCCTTGGAGTACTGAAGATTAGAGGGTAATTCTTCTTGGCAACAGTGCTGTCCACACTTTCATCAACAAGGCTGGGAACCAGGAAATCCATCATCTGTTAGGTTGTTTTTAATCTATCACACATAAGACAGCATGTCATAATTTGGAATAATTCCCTTTCATTCTAAAATGAAAGAAATTAAAAGTGGAACATGAGCATAGCTGCCAACAACTTTAGCCTACAGGAGAAAAATAAACCTTTGTTGAAAGCCACTAATATTTTGAAGTTGATTTGTTAATAAAGCAAAACAAAAAATTAAGAAATTGTACAAGATGCTAAAGCATCAAAAATATTTGTGGTATTGGCTTCCCAATTGTGTGATAGGTGTCAAGTATATTATAATTATAGGATAGAGAATAGCAACCTGTTTCTATATATTGAAAGTTTATGAATAAAATCAGTATAATGCTTTCTACACCATCTTTGAAGTTACATAATATGTAACTTTTTAACAAAGTAAATTATACTTATAAAATTTGATACATAGAATGAATTTTATATACTTATGTTAGAAATAAAATGGGCACTCTGCATTATACAACTAAAATAGATGGAACTTGGAAATTAGGCCAAGTGAAATAAGCCAGTGGCAAAAAGGCATATTGTGCCTGATTTCACCCTAAATAGAGGTATCAAATTTGTAGAATCAAAGAGCAAAGCAGTGATTTTCTGGGGGTTCACGCAAGAGAAAAATGAAGTTATTAACTAATAGTCACAAAACTTTAGTTAAGCAAAATGAATAAATAAGATTTGTTCTAAACCTGCTTAAAGGCAATGACACTATATTACACACATTAAAAATAAATTCACAGGGTAGATCTCATGATAATTGATAATTGTTCTCAGTGTTATAAAGTAAAATTATTAAAAATGCAGATATGCTACATAAATATTTATATTTATCCAGGTTTCCTTTTTAATCTGTTTTACATTTTGAGATAATAGGACTCTATACTTTTTTATTATAAAAATATAAAGCATGTATACATGTATATCATTAAATGTGATTCTTATTATGCTCTTGGGTAAAAGAATGAACATACATTGTTATCAACACAGAAGGTGACCCTGAAGCTGTAGACATTTGTATCACTTTTCCTATTTCTTATGACTATACTAAGAGGAGGAACTGAAGACACTTACTTGTCTCCTGACTTCAACACTGGTGTTCTTCCCTTAATGTTGGTATTATATTCTCACGCAAAGATTAAGTTGATTTTTATAGTTTTTGAGAAATAATCTCTCATTAGTTTCATTACTTCCTTCTTAACATTCCCCCTTTCCCTCTTTCTCCATTTGTTTCATCCTTTCATCAGATCAGTTCATTATTTCTATATATTATATTTTATTCCATATATTCCATAACTACCATCCATTGTTTAAGCCATGAAATTGCTGTAGGGAAAACAATTTTGAATAAAAAGTCTTCTTGGTTTTCAAGAAATTTGGTTTTATGGAGAGATGAAGTAATTAACAAACTATTAGACTATGAAATATGCATGCTTGCATTATGATAGCAGCACACATATACAGATACCCCAGGTGTATGTATTAGTATTTGAAGAAAGCTTTTCAAGGATAATGTAAGCTAAACTACATCTTACTTTTTTTTGAGATTTAAAAGCAAGATTTATTAGAGTCAAAGACCTCCAGCCAAAATGGAATGGAGGAAGGCTCCAAGAGATGCAAAACCCAAAATGGTAGTGGGAATTTTAAGCACAATTTTTGGTAGCTAAACTATATATTAATAGAGTCTCGAAATGGGACCAAGATTAATTTAATGCAAGTCAAAATGGCAGCAAGTGAAAGGAGTAAGACAGTTCTTTGGGTTTCCTTTTATAAGAGCACAAGTCCCATCCCTGAATTATCTGCCCTCATGAGCTAATTACCTCCCAAAGATTCCACTTTCTAAAAATATAACATTAGTAATTATATTTCAAAAAATGAATATTGCAGTGACACACACATTCAGACCCTGGCAGTCTGCTGCAGCTTGTATCAGAAAGAGTCTGAAGAGCGGAGACCCCCTCTCTCATAGACACAACTAATTCACAGCCCAGTTTATTGTGAGTACATTTTCTTAGTACAATAATAATTTTGCATTCCTGGTTGAAATATTTTATACTACAAATCATTTACCATTAAGATTCTGAAATAACCAAAGTTAATGGGTTGTAGATCTTAACAGGTCCTTTTAAGTAATTTCCAAATTTACTGAATGGCATCAGATTCTCTTTAGTTTTAGACAAAATTTATTCTCTAGTTTTCCTGGTATCTTCCTTCCATCATTATTTTTTAAAAGTGCATAACCTCAGATGAGCCAAACCCCTGTCACTGCATGAAAAGAATATCCACCAGAGACCAAAAATATTCTAAATTTTTAAATATCATCTTCTTTACTGACATTTCTATTCTGGCTCTATTTCAGAGTATATTTGGACATTGCTCTTTCAAAGTAGAGCCAAGTGATATTTCCCAGGGGATGCAAAGAGTTATCTATTCATATATATTAAATATTAATATTTCTCACACTAACACAAATACACAAAACCATATATACCATGTATAATCATCAACATGGGATTTGCTACAAAGTGACACTTTAAAGATAGAGGAAATAACATCCTATTTTATGCTGGTGCCACCTGAGTCATGCTCTTCCTTAAAACATCTGTGTCTGGAAAAGAGCTATTAAGCTGGAACAGGGTTTGGTTAAAGATATTGAACTTGTGTGTGTGTGTGTGCATTAATGATACTAACAATGAAATACCTATTTAGTCATTCAGATTTCAAAAGGAACATCCATGTCATAACCTAGTAAAAGTTGGAAGTAAAAACCTATATTTAAGTATCATGATATGGGGGAAAGAACTAATGATCCAAGACCGCGATTCATTGTATTTTAAAAATATCCCATAATGTGAATAGACAGATTTGTGATTTTGGTTAATAAATGCAAGTTTCATGTTTGTTATGGTTTTAGAAGTCATTTTATACATCCCATTAAAGAGAACATTGAAATGCTTTGTTTAATCATTGGGAAGAACTTACAAACTAAAAACTACCATTTGCAATCTTTCTACTCCAATGGTAGAGCTCTGTTTTACTTCCAATTCATAATTACAAAAGGACCTTCATGCAAACTTAGTCCCTTTTCAGTGAAGCAGTCTGAAATAATAAAAGACGTTTAAAACTAACAATTTAAAGAGGAGAATGCTACCCTAAGAAAAACATTTGCAAATTATGTGATGTGCACCAGAAGCCCAGAGGCTGCAACTTAGCTGTCTATGCCTTCCAGCCTTTTTGTAGTCCAGCTTGTTTGTAGAAATAATTAGTGCCATGATACATCTTCTTATAAAACTTGATAATTTTTTCCATAATATTTGCTTTTAAGTCAATATAAACTGACTGAAAAACTTACTTGAATTTCAGTCACACATAGCTGAGGAATGAAAAAAATACTGGCTAACATGATTTGAAATCAATCACGAAATATAAATAAATAACACTGAACAAAATATTCTAAAGACAAGAACTACAGATCTTTCAGAAATATATAATTGCGTTTATTTACCATGTTTATTAATCTACACATGAATTGACAAGATGCATGTTGATATAAAACCTAAACATGACCCTTACATAAATAAAAGGCATCCCTCTAATGCTTTTTGCTTTTAGATGAACCAACAATACAAACAAAGGTATGTGGTACTTTTTATTTATCCATTTTTATGTATTTTGCAACATTTCAATACTTCCTGCAGGTTTAAAATTCCTACATTTTACACCATTTCTGTACCCGGCCACTCAAATTGACAGACATATCCCAAAGAAGATTTTTTTTTTCAATGGGTGGAATGAGAATGGAAATAAAAATCTATCTACCAGAAGAATTGATTCTTAATGGAAAAAAAAAGTCTCTGCCCTTACTGCTGTCAGTTGACTGATAAATCATAGATCAAAATCCTTCCTATAAAATATTGAAGGAAACCCTCTTCAGGCCCAGACATGTGCTTTAATGATTTGTGCATACTAAAGACTATTTGAATCTAAAATAAATTCAGCGAGTTATCCCAGGATCCAATTTTCTCCAAGCCAAAGGCCATTTGCTCAGTAGGTCTATAATTTGGTGTGTGTGGGAGGTGTGTGTGTGTGTGTCAGGCAGAATGAAGAAAGAGATAACTCACATCATGTTGAATATCAATATCTCCAGGAAAATTGGCATGGTTATTTATTACATTGTTCAAATATGTGTGGTTTTCAGTAAAGATCAAAATAAATTAATGGATTTTAGAATGTAAACCATGGATGATAATAACGAGTTTTCAGTAGATTCTGTTTTTTTTTTTAATTTTACTAATTTAACCATTTTATTATTTTTAAATAGCCTAATATATTCAGAGTATTATTTCAACATTTAGAAATAAAAAATTTAGATATTTTACCTTTTTGAGGAATGCTAAAATTTCAAAATCCAATGTATATTTTATAACAATGGCATACATAACATCTCTTTAAAATTTTGTATTTATTAATTCAAAGGCAATGAGATGGGGGGTGGAAGGGATGGGGAGGAGATAGAGAGAGAGAGAGAGAGAGAGAGAGAGAGGGAGAGGCATCTTCCATTCATTGGTTTGCTTCCCAAAAGGCCATAGCAACCAGGTTGGGCCGTGCTGAAGCCAGGAGCCAGTAACTCCATTTGGATCATCTACATGGGTGTACAGGTAGCAGGGATGCACATACTTGAACTTGATTTGCTAAATCCCAGGCACATGATCATGATGGGAAGCAGAGCATTCAGGACTTAAATCTGCATGCCAATATGGGATGCTGGCATTATAAATCAGAGTTCAATCTTTTGCATCACAAAATGCCACTATCATTTTTTTTGTAACACTAATACTAAATATGTAAAAACTATTTTAACATAGTACCCATATAATCTATGCAGAGCTGAAAAAACTGCCAAATGAAGCCTTGTATGTTACCAAAAGCCATTCTTTGGATTGAATATATTTATTTCTGTTTTTTTTTTAATTCATTTTTCTGTATTAATGTCAGAATGGCCAAATGGGTGAAAAACACTATTAAACATCCTGGATGCCTTGAAAACAGAAATCTAATTCAATATAAAACACGCATACACACTGATTTAAGTATTTTTTCTCAAAGCCTCTGCAACTGAAACATTTTTAGAACTTACTTTTGTTAAAACTCTGGTTAAATTTATCTCCATTCTCATGCTACCTGTTACTTCCTCTACATTGCTTCTTGAAATTTATAGATGTATGTGGCAGTTATGATCAAGGGTGGGAACAAGCACGATCTTCATATCTGAGAGTCAAA